AATTGTGCAATCGTTCTATTGACTTGTCTTGGGGGAAGGTTACTCTGCTGAAACAAAAATGGAAGGGGGGGAGCCTGTTGCCCAGTAGACAATGGGCTTTTTTATCCCAACTCACCAACTATTTTTTTGGAAGTGATGCTCTTTTCACATTTACAAATGAATGGAGCATACTTTCCACTAAATTTCCACCATTTTCCATGCCTTTTCCCTGAGGGAAAAAATGAGAAAAGCACAGGGTGATTCTGAAAGTTTGTTTAACACATAAGTTCACCCATTGGAGAAAACTTGTTGTGTGGAATGACCTATCAGGAAATTACAAAGCAATCTTTAATGGTGAAGAGGGGGGCTCTGGGAAACAGGAGAACTTTTCTTGAATCCTCATAGAATGAGTTGGGCAACCATACCGAAGTTTCCCCAATCCTGCTTTAATTGCTGCCTGGCCAACTAGATTTCCTTCAACATGAAGAAGAAAGCTGTTGTTCAAAATAATTGGGAAATGCTTTTCACTGAGACCACCTCCTCCCATGATTCTCTCAAGTTAAAAGGAATCATGAGTGCTCGTGGAACTACTAGCCCATTCTCTCTTTTGTTGCAGAAAAATACATGTTCTCAAATTGTAGGAAGATGGATTCATGATGTAGATGATTCAATCCATTCAGTTTGATCAGTCTTAAGTCTAAAGAAAGGTAATTCACAGACCTTGATATATAAAGTGTTTTTCTTGTGTTCCTTTTGTTTGCCTAGCTGTCCCCCAGCCAGTGTTCTCAAGGAAATTCTGAGCAATGTACAGAGAGTAACTTTCTATGGATTTCTGATGGCTCTTGCAAAGCATCATGGGATCAACAAAGCTCTTGGTAATGAAAACTTCTGTATTTTCCATGAATAATGTTTTAGGGATTTGGTGGCCTAAATTCCTTTGTCAAGGTTACAGAGTCCTCAGGGCTAGTAGGTATATACCAGAAAAATTTATATTTAAAGCAAAACAATTCTATGAGATTTAAACGGGACAAGTCACATAACAAACCAAAAAGGTGCCTTAATTCCCATCTATCCCCATCAAATTTTTAGGTGTTGATATATCCCTCCAGCAACAAAGAAAGAGATGGCAACTACCATTCTGTTCTGTGCCCCAGATCCTGATTTCATCCTGTTTCGGAATCCAGAGTAATATCTTTACAAGAGGACTGCCTTCTCTTACAAACTTTTTATCCTCAATAACTACACAAATATGAGGAGAGAGAGAGAAAAAAAAACCACATACAGGGTGTATTTCCTTATTTAGCTTAATTCATACAAATGAACAAGATCCTGATTTTTCTTAATTCTTCATTTTCTTTTGAAGAAGCCAAGACTTTGTTTCAATAGAAATACCATGATTTCAGGACAGAAGCAATGCACATTCCCCCCCCTTTCAGAATTGTTATTTGTCCCGCAACCTTAAAATCAGGCTTTGAAAAAGGCGGTGCCTTTTTCCATGGCAGAATCTATTCGGTCTCCGGGTTGGAGATCGGCACTGGGCCTGTTTGATGCATCTCTGGGGTTCTGAATACAGGAGCCAGGCCTCCTTGGCCCTGCTAGCAGCCATCCAAGCTGTTCTTGATCCCTCTGCATTTGTGCTCAAGGATATGTCTCAGTCCAAGCTGCTCTCCCCTCCCAGCGTCCCAATCCCTGCCAACAACTGGAGCTGCGGTTTACCCAAAGCGTAGAGATTATATATCAAAAGGAACATGCATGCAAGTCCTCAATCCCTTCTGCAAACAGGCTTAGCTAGTAATGCATTCCCAAGCAAAGATGATGCGTAGACTGCACGGGATCGGGCTTTTCTTTCTGCCTGTACAAAATCCACTTCCAGTAAGGTGCAAAGCAAACAGATGGGCCGAGAAAGCCCTGCCTACTGCCGCCATTGTGCATGGGTTTTTCCTTCCATTAAGAAAGGCCTGTTCTGGCTTCCAGCCAGGCTCCTGCTGAGGCCTCTTGGGGGGGAGGGGCAGCCGTAAGTGTAACAGGTGCAGGCATCTTGGCAAGGAAAGCAGGATTTTTCTCCTGCTGCCTTTTCATCTTCCCTGCACACAGGATGATTTGAATAGGCTTTGGTCTGCAAGGGATCACAGGCTCCCGAAAGCCCTGCAGCAAGGGCAGTTCCAGACGAGAGCTTCAGAGGAAAGAAGGAAGGCGCTTTCAGGCAGGGGCCCCCACCGTGCCTCCAATCTCGCCGGGATCTTGAAAGGGAAGAGGAGAGATTAGAAGGCAACTGATGAATTTGTCAAGCAGACGGCAAGCGCTAGTCTCACTCCTGTGTCAATATTGATTCACCAATCCACTGCATATTGTTTGCCAATTCTCCCAAGAGATTGGAGCACCCTTGAGAAGAACAAGCTTCACGTTCAGGAAATGGAGGCTGCAGAAGGCTGGCAGCAGCCCTGTCTGCTCATTTAGCCTTCTGTATTACAGTGTCAGGGATATAAGAGCGTCTTCCTTTTTGGGATACCAGGCAGGACAGAAGAAACAGAAAACCTAGATTGCTCCTTCCGTCCTCACTTGCAGCTTTCTTTATGAAGGAACATTTTCCTCATTAAGAGGTTTCATCCAGTGGTGGGATTCAGCCGGTTCGCACCACTTCGGCAGAACCGGTAGCTAATTTTTTGTTGCCCAGGCCCAGAATGGACTTCCGGAAGCGGCATCCACACAGAGAACCGGTTGTTCACATATTTGAATCCCACCACTGGTTTCATCCCTGTTTCTCCCATGGATGACTGCTGCAAGGTGAAGAGTTACACAAAAGATCTCTGTGAGGATCTGCTGCCCTGGGAGCTGTACACAGCTTGGTAGCATCCCATATGCTGGAGATGCCAAGTTGTGCCAAGAACTATGTGTGCTGACTCATCTCTGTAGACGTCCACATCTAAGGCAGGAAGAGCATTCTGTTCTTGCCAACAGACTTTAGTTAGATCCTGTGGACCACACTGTTAAAAAAAAAAGAGTACAATTTGTTGTACAGAAGGAAGGTAAACATAAGAGTAAGTTCATCTGTCAGGTAACCCCAGTGTGGGCCACTTCTTTGCAATAGTGTATCAGGGCAGCTGAAAATCTTCTCACCATCTTCAGATATATGTTTTCTTCACAGAATATGTATCTGAGATATAGCAAGGAGAAGATTAAGCCTTCTTTCCCCCCCTTTTTGCATTCTAGTTAGACCAACATGGCTATGTAATTCACGTGGAGATGCCTTAAGAGTCTTGGATAGACAAGCATTGTAACCCACAAGCTATGCAACATCATTAGGAAACCTGAAGGGTCAACCATGATGAGAGGGTAGAATTGCAGAATTGTCTGTGATGACTTGAGTGATAGGGAGGAATTTGATAATGCAGTATATGGCATGTGAAGCTTTGCTAGCCAGAACTGTTGCAGAAAGGATAATGAAGGCCATGTTATAGTATACTTAGAGCATAAAAAGTGAGTGTTGTATGGGGCTCTGAATCAAAGGAACATGAAGGGATAAATACATCCTTTTTTTCTTTATAATATGCGGTCAGCTAAGTTACGCTATCATGGACTGTCTTTTACTTGGTACATTTTGGATGCCCTGGGGGTCTGGATGGCGAAGGCTTAGGTTTAATCCTAGACCAAATGGCAATAGATTTGGAGGGCCACATAGATTAAATATCTCCAGTCTTTGCTACTGGATGGCGTTGTACTGCCCTAGACAGAAATGGCATGCAGTTTGGAGATCCATCTAGATCCACGTCTCCTGTTCAAGGCCCTTTGTACAAATCTGTCTTATGAACCATTGTATCTGTTCCTGGATTGTGAGGCTCTATTTAACACTTGTACATTGGTCACCTCACCTCTGGCCTGCAGCAATGTAGTCTACAGTCTTTTGAAAATTAAGTACAGCTCATCAAAATGTTTGATTTTTCTCAACATATTGCAGTTTACAGGTAGTCCTCAACTTACGTATGACCATAGATGAATCCAAAATTTATGTTGCTAAGTGAGAAATTTGTTAAGCGAGTTTCGTCCCATTTTACAACTTTTCTTGCCACATTTGTTAAGTGAGTAACTGCAGTTGTTAAATTAGTAACACGGTCGTTAAGTGAATCTGGTTTCCCCATTGACTTTGCTTGTCAGGAGGTCCCCATGGGTGATCACATGACCACGGGACACTGCAAACCGTCATAAATGTGAGTCAGTTGTCAGCATCCGAATGTAACTCACATGACCATGGCCAGGCTGCAATGGTCATTAAGTGTGAGAAATGGTCATAAGTCACCTTTTTTCAGTGCCGTTGTAACTTCGAATGGTCACTAAGCAAACTGTTGTAGGTCAAGGACTACCTGTACTGATATTTGATCATTATTTCAACAATATTGATATATAAAGAAGATATAACAGAATAAGCAATTCATTCTGGAATCTCCCTTTACTCATCTAGGAAAAAAGGCTGTTAAAGAAATGGGCAACCTGAATCTGCTAGATTCAGATCATGCTTCATGAACTGAATCCTTGTCCACAGAGCCAATGCTAAGAATGAAAACCAAAACCAGGTCTGTTCACAGGCTCATCGTGTGGCTGACAAGGCACAAAAGGAACTAGGAAGGAAGGGCCACCAAGGAAATTTAGGCATCAACTGGTAGCATTAGATTTCTAAGCAGTATCATGTGTTCGGGACAGATGGGCCTCTCTGCCAGTAAATGTACTCATATGCACAATCCTGCTGCAGCTATAAGCTGCTGGTGAATGGCAAGGACCTCAGAGTTAGCATTTTGGGGCACCCTCCCCACATCCCCCCCCCAAAAAAACTCTTAAAAAGGCACCTAAAAGAGATACACATGATTATGCTCCATTTTCTCTGCTTATAATAGCAAACTATTTTGTTTCGTCAGGCAAAAGCCTTGATTCTGATGTTCTTTGTTATGAAGTGGTCCAAAGTCTAAAGAGAGGAATGGGATTTTCAATCCACAATGTAGCTATGCAACTGTATGCTGATTTAATATTTTTAATGACTGCTTTAAAAACGGATATAGATTATTTTACTTACTAAGGTAAAGCAGCCTCCCACCATTTGGTAGTTAGAGAGGTCCTGATTAGTCAGCTAATTGGGGTCCTGGCCTTTTCCCTTGTAAACCAAATAACCTTCCTTAGTAGTGCAAAAGTCTGAAATCTTGTGTATATTACTACTAAGACAATAGTAGTGAGAGGAGCTACAGTGCTGACTGTTAAAAGCAGGGCTTTTTTTCTCATAGAACGCCCAGAACGGAGTTCCGGCACCTTTTTTGGATGGAACCTTGTAGGGTAGGCAAGGCGGGTTGTATGACGTGTGTGAGTTCCGGCACCTTTTTTTTTTTTTTTTTTTTTTTTAGAAAAAAAGCACTGGTTAAAAGGAAAGACTTACAAGTAAGTAGGGCATTCTTGTAGAGATGGGGAGCTACTATAGATATACAGATATAGAAATCAAGTTAATACGTTCTTAGGTTGTTCATTCTTTTATGTTTTATGGCAGTTCATGTGCAGTACAGTGTTTGGGTAACATGATTGAAGGACATCAGTTTGAATAGGTCATCCTCACACTGAGCTAACAGGATGCTGTGCTGCTACAAAAATGTTACTTGTAGGAGTACAAGATCCTCCAAATGCAGCAATTGTGAAAAGAGTGATCAGACAGTTGACAGGATGAGTATCTGCAAATTCAATTGCTTTTTGAAGAAGGCTAACAAATGTTAAGCCATACCGAGAGCAGTCTGCAGCATGAATTCCACCACTGAATTGTTGAGCAGATGTTCCTCTTCCTATATTTTCATTTTCACGGGTGGATTCACTTCGGATTCCATAATATTATGGTATATAAATACTTATTCTTGCTTTCTTTATTCGTTTTCAGGAGCTCTCCCTGAGAAAGCAGAGTTGCTCCTTGACCCAGTTATGGATCAGGAATTAGAGAAACTGTAAGTACTTTTAAAATGGAGAACAACTAAGTGGTTAGGGCACCATTATTTTTCCTTTTAGGTGTCACATGAGAGTTCTTTCAGTTAATGTAAAAGCAATGGTAATTTTTCCTTTCACTCTAAAACGTGGTAGATAAGAGTTGAAATCAATTCAAGAAGCAAAGGAAAGCTCTTCTGTAATTTGTACATCCCTTTTAATTATTAAGACATCAGCTGGTTTTATTTATAAATACAGGTAACATCTTCCATATCATTCTTACAGCCTGTCATTTCAAATCAGCCTCATTCTGTCTTGTTCAGTAAAACCTACTCCTTGTTCATAACTTCTTTTAAATCCACTTTTATGATAGCAGACAATCTTGAGAGTAACTTCTGAGTGCATTGTTCCCAAATACTCTTGAATTTTTTCCAAAGTTAAGATTATTTTGCTCCACTCTGTATTAGTTTCTTCTCCTATAATTTTGATCTTCAGTTCTTTCGGGTTTCCTTTACTGTCCAATTTTCAAAGTCTTGTCATGTTTCCAAAAATCAACATTCTAATTACCCTTTTGCTGTTTATTCTAAAACATTTTTTAACTCCTTAAACTTGCAAAAGTTTTGCTGAGGATTGAAGGAAACTTACCCAGTGTAATGAAATTTGCTGCTCTAATAGTTCTTAATATCCATTCTTATATTGAATTGGATAATTCAACATATAACAACTTATATATTGGCTAACTTATAATTTTTTCATAACTTTTAAATTGGATAACTCTTATTTTGCATTTACAAAAGAGATACATTAAAGTTTTGAAGGAATTTCTAAGAGACAAAGAGAAAAGAAAATCAAGCACTGGGACATTATTTAAAGGGATCAGACATCAGTATTGTTAAAAGCAAAAGGAGGGAATATAAAGTTGGTTTATTTGATCAAAATAGATATATTGCTGTTTCTGGTAACTGTTAATGGATTTTTGTTGACCAGAACTGAAGGACAAGATTTTAAAGATCTGTTTATAAGCAAAAGATGAGATATAGGAAGAAGAGATCTTTGGTTGCATTTTCAGAGAAAGTTATAAGTTACTATGTTAAAAGCAAAGTAAAGGAATATAACGTTGGATTTATTTAAAGTTAAAATATGTTATTTCCGGTAAATTTTAATGGAGTCTCGTTGATTAGGATTGAATGACGCTTTAAAATTTTGTATATAGCTATATGGGAAAAAGAGATCTTTGTTATAGTATCAGAGGTGATAAGTTACTGAACTTATACTTGTGATAAAGAGGAAAGTCAATTCTTTATATATTTTTCTTTAATATGTATTTTTTCTTTTTTTCTCTACACTATTTTTTGTAATTGCTTTAGCTTGTATTAGTTTTTTAATCTATGTATCTGTAAATTTTAATAAAAATATTAAAAAAGAAGCATTGTGCAGTTGATAGGAATTATCAAGAAAGGAGCAAGCCTTCTTTACCAAATATTGGTTCATGCAAAAGAAAATTTCAAACAGCTCACTATTTCTATAGGGGCAATTTTCTGAGCTTCTAAGCAAAGGAGTTTAATCTCCAATTGTAAAGGTGACTGAAGGCTGCATTCCTCTTCTTTTTAGCAAATTGTTGATCAATAGATACTGTCACATATTCCCCAGTATGCTTTCACAAACTTTTATAGTGACAAATGTGAACAGAAATAAAGTAACAGCAGATTTTTTTTCCTTTTTTCAGGATTGCATCAATTTCAGGCCTTTCAGTATCCAATTCTAGCGCAGGCGGGGATGCAACAAACATGCCTTCACGTGCTTCGCCACGCATCTGTTCCTTTTGGAGGCCGCTACACCATCGTCGTAAAGTGGATACTGAAAGCGATGGCTCCACAGAAGAGACAGATTCCTCAGAGAACTGATAAAGGAGTACACGACATTTCACAGGTCCTTATCATCAAAGTGTGGGACTTAGGGAAACGGAGATGGCAACCTAGTGCAGTTGTAGGATCATACTGCTCTCTTGTGGCAAATTGATTGAAATACGAGAGCATTTGTTTCAGTGTTAAATTTAATTCTCAGTGTGGAGTTTGCATCACAATCCTTTGATCTCTGTTGTACACACAAGATTTTACCCTCTCTCTACATATGAACCCTTTATCATATGGCTCAGTATTAACATATTTTATGAAAAATCCAGATCAGAAAGGAAACGTATGGCTTTGATGAATGGGTAATTTTTTTTCACTGTGGGTTCAGGATGTGACCTATGTGTAGACAATAAAGAATGTTGCACTAGGAGGTAGGTGAACTGAGATTTCTTGCATCATAAGTTATATTGTAAAAAGTAGCAACTGCATCATTTGCTATTCAGATGTTTTTTTGAAAGGAAGTAAAAGGTAGTACCTAAAGAATCATGACAAAGATTTTTCTTCCACTCCTGGGGAAGTGAAATATGAATGTTATACAGCTGAAACTACAAGGCAATATTCCTTGCAGTCAAAAAATAAGTCATCATAATATACTTTGAGTTTTTTAGTGACAACATACCTGACAAACTTTCATTTTACTTTCACACTACTAGACCATTTAATTTGCACATCCTTCTTTTGATCCAATTTTCCTTCTTAAGAGTTTAGTATAGAAAATATGGAGGGGGTGATTTCTAACAACGCATTTTGCATTATTATTTGGAGCCGAAGAAAATAAGAACCACAAGGAATTGAGAACACAGGAATCCAATCTGATTTATTGGAGAGGAGGAGGAGTCCATAGCCCTCACCATGAAAACCCCGTAAAGCAGTGCCATAACTTTGGCCGCATATCACTTATGAATATTACGATGAATTTCAAGTACAGAGATGGCCCAAGCAGGGAAACCTCTTCCAATCTCTTTGAGTAAAAAGGCAGTGGTCTGATAGGAAGCTCTGCAAACGTCTTGCTGAGCAAGCAGTTTTAAATCTGCAACACTCGAAACTGGAGAGGGTATTTTTCAGAACCCTATGAATACAAAGGAGAAGCAAGCAAAGGGGGATATTTCTGGTCAGTCCATGCAGGCATTTATTTTCATAGGAAGTGCACAAGGAGTAAGCAGATTAATTGCACTAATGAGTTACACTAACGTGAAAGTGGGTAACCTCAAAGGACATTGGTAACCTTAGCTGCCTCTAGCAAGTGTGCCTCACTGAAACTCAAGACATCATTTCAATGTATTCTTGGCAATTAGGCTTCCTATTAAACGACAGGCTTGTCTTCTTAGGGGACACACTGGATTTGGTGGCAGTTTCCAGATAAACCCACTGTGCAGCAGCAGCAGCAGCAACAATCATGCAATTTGAATGCAAAATGGTTACAACAGTAAGCACCATTTCACAAGGAAATAATTCTCCCACTCTGCCGAAATGAGAATGCTCCAGTGGAAAAACGTCACTGAAACGTGGGATTCAGCATGCAGATGCAATGGGCGCTGTGGAGCAAAATACCTTTTATCATCCCAGGCATGAGATTAGCAATGTAGGCCGGGAAGGAGCATTTATCTGCTCCAGTTCCTCTCCGATCAATAAAGCTATTAACAGTTTATGAGAACAATCCCAGAAAGCATAGGGACAACAGTGACGCCTGGATAGGTGGAAGAAGTTTTCTTGAAACTGGTCTTGTTTCCGTATAATTTGCAAGAGAGCTATGGTGTTCAGTCAAGTCCATTATTGTGTTTCGGAAGGAAAGCAGTAGTAGCAGTGGTTGTGCAACAAAAGTGGGACATGGTGAACGGAGTGAATAGAGTCAACGCTCATTTCTCTTAACTTATGAAATAAAAGACAGCACCCAATGGACAACTGATTATAGGAAAGGTTTGATAGCCCTTCCTTGCTTATCGCTGAAGATCTCCAATCTCCTGCGTAAATTTATCATCGGTCATATTTGAAAAAGAAAAGCATCTTAACTAAGACCGAGAGTGCTGACCTTTCACTGCATGCTGTACGTTTGTGCTTTTCACAAGCCATTATTCTAAAGCGGTGCATCACACTGGTTCCTTAAGGCAGTAAGATTACTATGGGCTTCACTCTAATCTGGAGCATAGGTTATAGAGTCTCCATCAATGCAACAAGTACTGTAATTTGCCTCTGAATTCATGCAGGAGCGTGAAAAAATATTACACACTACTTTCCTGCTTCCACAATACTAAGTCCACCAATAGCAGTCGGGGAGAGAAAGAGAAATATAAAGAGCAGCACCACAATGACATCTGCACCCTATCTCAATCCATAGCAGCAGAGGGATGTTCTCTGGAAAGGCCCGTACTTCAGTCGCTGAAGGCTGGGTTTTGACAAAATATGTTTTCTAATACAAAACAATGTCCAGAAAACCTTTTTGAGTACAGGACAAGCATATCCGTTTCCTCTATTCTCAAGCAGCCCTCAGCTATGCTCAGCTCAGAAGTTATCCTGTAGAGTTCCCATGTGGTGTTTCCAAGTTCAAGTGGTGTTATCCCGATGGCCAAGAGATAAAATCTTCTAAATCATCAATATGAACCATAGCGGTCCTAAGGGTAGGAGGGAAAAGAGACAAAGAGAGGAGAAAAAAAATCACTTAACAAATTGTCTATAAACCTGCTTGAAGATTTCTAGGCATTTCGCTATGAAAACTAGTCCAAAGCTGATAAACAAAAGTTATTACTTATGAGGCAGTCATACCAAAAAACAAAGGTGATCCTGCTAAGATCTGAACGGTGAGGTGGTCCACAAAAAGATATTATTGGCAAATTCTATGCAGTCCTCCCAGAAATGTCAGAAAAAGATCAGCATGGGAATTTGTTTTAGCTTCGTTACTGGACAATTCTTTGAACACGCATGTTTACGTAATTAACACAAGTATAAAAGACCGCCTCCTACCAAATATCTCCCTTCGACCAGTCCGCTCCCACAGAGAGGGCCTCCTTAGGGTGCCGTCGGCCAGTCAATGCCGGCTGGCGACCCCCAGGGGGAGAGCCTTTTCTGTGGCAGCTCCTGCCCTCTGGAATGACCTACCCCCCCGACCTACGTACAGTTGCGGACCTGCGCCTCTTCCGCCGAGTCTTGAAAACCCATCTATTCCATGCGGCCGGCCTGGCGTTCTTTTGATTGGGCTTTGCTAGGGGTTTTATATGGGGTATTTTAGAGCAGGCTTTTTATTCAATATTTATTGTGATTTTATTATTGCCTGTTCACCGCCCTGAGTCCCGTAAGGGAGATAGGGCGGTATATACATTTAAATAATAAATAAATAAATAAAAACAGATGGAGTGCGGGCTTGAACTCAAGACTTGCACACCAAGCCTAAAGTAAGTCTGAACCAGAATGGAATCTGGGTCACTATTCAAGATAGTCCAAGGTGGTTCTTTCTTTTCTCTTGACCCATTATTAAGTACATGAGAAACATGAACCTTATTGTTCAAGAAAATGTGTTCACCAAACTTGCAAGTTGAATCTAATCAAAACTCCGGAACAACTTATGCACTAGCAATATGTTTTGTTTTGGGAAGATCCTTCAGTTTAATTTTTTCCGCTATTTTTATCCTTAAATTTCCTACCATTTTATATCTCACCATCAACCTCAGCAAAACAATATTGTACTGTCTACAATACAGAAGGTGTTAAGTGCTCTTATTGGGTCTCGTCCTGATGTCTGTGCTATGTTTGGGTTTGTTTTCATATGATTACCTCCTTTGGAGAGTTCAGAAGTCTCTTTAAAGATTTTAACTGCATACTATATAAATACAGTTCAGGTAGGGCTGCAAATCCCATAAGTACAGCATTAGTTAGGACAGTGATGGCGAACCTTTTAGAGACCGAGTGCCCAAACTGCAACCCAAAACTCACTTATTTATCGCTGGGTGCCAGGTGGGCATGGCCCACTGGGTGGGCATGGCTGTGGTGGTCATGGAAGTCTGGGTGGGTGTGGCCAAGGTGGGCGTAGTCACCTTGATCTTGCTCATAGGAAGGGATGCTTGTGGGGGACAGGCAGGGCTGGGGGAGATCCAGGGGGTCTCTGGCAGGTGGGGCGGTGGGCAGGAGGCTCATCCTGCGGGGTGAGGCGGGCAGGGCAGGGGTGCCAATGTCGCAGGGCAAGGTGAGCCAGGGGCCGGGGCTGCTGCCTGACACCATCGGTCTCCACACACAGAGGCCAGCGAGCGCATGGGGGCCGACAGTGTCTGTCAGCAGCCACAGCCTGCCGGCCCCTCGACTGGCACACTCTGGGGCTCCGCAGCCCGCCGCCAGCAGTTCAGAGAAGCCGCCTTTGACCTGGACGGTTGGCCGACAGCTGAGGAGGCGATGCAGTGGGTTGTGCCCAGGAAAAGGAGAGCATACGAGGCCAGGAAAGATGGGACAGGGAGGAGGGAAACCAGCCATGCTGGGATGCATCTGGCCACATGGGACCTGGGCGAGTTAGCAGGCGGCTGGTTGAAGAGGGATGGTTGCCATCTCTGGGGCATGGTGCGCGTGCCCACAGAGAGGGCTCTGAGTGCCGCCTCTGGCACACGTGGCATAGGTTCGCCACCACTGAGTTAGGAGATATATCTTGCTGTATTATCAATCTTTCTACTCAAAATCAACATTTTAACACTGATTTGCATAGAGTGAAATTATCCAACTGGATCCATGTAGCGTTATAAAATTTGCAAGTTCAAATTGACCATGAAAAATACAATCTTTCTTAAAGTGGACTAATCAACTATTTTGTCTTGGAGGTATTTTAATTAGTGCCTTTATAGCCCATATGGCAGAATTAAAGAATGTGATGCCCGTGAGCATCAAAATGTGCGCTAGGCTCCAGGACCCAGATTTTAAAACTGTCTTTCAAATTCTTCTGTTTAAAAAAACATATAGGAAAAAAGCATGTTGAAATGCAAATGGCCAGCCTCGGGCATTAATCATTATTTTCGGTAATGTTTTGGATAATGGCAACTCAAGGTCTTGTTTAGAAGCATGCTCAACTGCCCAGGAAAAAAAAAAAACTAGACACAGAGAGAGAACTCTAAGGAGGCAGAGGTGATAGGAATAGCAGTTTCACTCATTGTTTCGTATCCCCAATGGCATCCACAACACACTCTCAAAATATTAAAGAACTACGTAGTCTACACCGGGGGTAGTCAACCTTGGCTCTTTTATGACTCGTGGACTTCAACTCCCAGAATTCCTGAGCCAGCTAAGCTGGCTCAGGAATTCTGGGAATTGAAGTCCACGAGTCATAAAAGAGCCAAGGTTGACTACCCCTGGTCTACACTATCATATGAGGTTCTTCAGATATCACGTATGTTGTTCATG